AAAAGGCGCTCTAGTTCAAAAAAAAAAACTATGACTCCAGATGACGAGCTAGAGCCGGAGTCTTTAGATGCTAGGATGATACGACACGGCTCTCCAACGTGATGTGGCGCGCGTGACGTGACGTGACATTTCATGTTTCCGCTCACATATCTCTGTTGGACTATGGAGCATTGCATTTCTTCCGGTTGCGGCTACGATCTACTCCTATGTGATCGAGCGACAAAGGTACGTTGTTGCTAGCTCCGGGTCCTGCAATGGGGTCAAAACGGGCCTTATCGCCAGTTCACCACTCATCGGTGCAGTGCAATGGTGCATGTACTCCTGCATGCATAGGAGTACTATATACTGCACTGCTAGTGCTAGCTAGCCGTCGCCTGGCTGGCTGGGCAGCTGGCTGCCTGTGGCTGCACTGCACACCCGGGGAGCGTCGTCCTTGTGCACTCGGCTCAAGATAGTTCGGTTTGTTAAAATTTGGCTGAATTGGTTGAAAAATACTGTTATGATGGAATTGTTGTCAGAAAAAAACATTGTTTCTACTGAAAAAACAAGTTAAATAGTACGGATTATAAGATAAGCCGATAAGGACCAAGATCGCCAAAAAGGCTGGAGGCACGGCCGGCCCCGCCCATGGGCACGACTGCACGAGCACGACGGCCGGCAAAACACAAAAGCGACACTACAGTGGAGTCCATTCGAGCCCCTGCTCCCGGCGAGACACACGTAGTAGTACGTAAAAGACGGAGTCCGCCCGGGTGCAGTGCAGTGGAAATAATGCAGCACTGGCACTAGCAGGATATCGAGCTAGCTAGTGAGCGCAACCTAGTAGCTGATAGATGCCTGCACACACTGGAGGCCAACCGAAAGGAGCTCGGGAAAGCTGCTTGGACGGAGGAGAGAAATAAACTGCTGCGACAGGGAGTTGGACGAAGTGGCTGAGGACGAACTGCTATCGATCTTTATATCCACGTACGCATCCAAGCACTGCATTGCATCCACTGATCGACCGCACGCACAGATAGCAGCAGCAAAAGGGGAGCACTGCTGCACATCGTACTAGGAAAGAAAACATGGACATGGGATCGATGGAGAGAGACTGCAGAAATTGTAAATTCAGAGAGCGAGAGGAGAGAGCCGCTCTGCATGCCTTCACTTGGTGGTGCGACCAGCAGCAGCCAGGACGCTTACCAGGCATGCATATGTGAGCACGTATGGATATTCGAGGCTTCGAGCGAGCAGCGAGGCAGAGCCAAGCAGATGCGAGCAAGTTGGGATTGGGATTAGGGGAGAGGGCGAGGTGGGCGCGGCGGCGGCGGCGGTTGGTGGGCGGTGCGGCGGCAGCTGGAGAGCCACTGGCTAGGGCGGCGGGGGAGGTCATCAGCGATGGGAGCGGGGCTGGTGCGGACGCAAGGAGGAAGATGACTGACGCTCCTGTTGCGGAGACACCCTTTTTAATTAATTACTTCGGAGCAAAAACCGTCTAGGGTTTTGAGTTGTAATGGTTGGACTTCTAACCGGAGCAAAACCTTCCTATCTGGTCGCGGTTTATAGGGAATATTCAATTGGTCAAAACACAATTCAATTTATTTTTTATTCCTAAACCCTAATTGATGTTCGTGTTTTCATTTTTTTTTGTGAAGCCACGTACAGACGCAGACATTTATATACATGAGCATGCACTCACCCTTATGAACATATGCGCACACAACTTATCCTTATGAGCATCTCCGAAGGATTGAGTTGGATCAGCAAATCTCAAGATTGACGAAACCACTACAAGCGCCTCGTGGTGACAATCATGTCTCCTATAGCGCCGCTAAATCCTAAAATAAATCTAGAAAAACACGAGCATCCGCGTCAAGTCGAGGATTATTTAAACTCGAGTCCCAGATGCAGTGGTGGATCCAGCACTGGGGGGGGGGGGCAGCCAGGGCTCAAGCCCCCGCTACCACCGCGAGAAGCATGGAGCCCCTCCTAAGCCCCTATGCTACAAATTTATAGTCATTGAAGTTTAAAAGAAGAGCCCAAATATAGAAAATAAGGAGAATAATAAGTCCCTCCTAATATAGGTTTCTAGTTTCGCCATTGCCTGGATGGGCAGTTTCAGCACAAGAACCCGATGACGATATATAGAACAACTCTAGACATGTCTGTCATGATAGGGTCCCTCGTGAAAAAGTTTGCTCAAATTTTGGCGTGGTTAGGCAACAACAGCTACGAAGTGTTGTGGCTAGCTGAATATAGGAGTAGAGATTTCAGATCCTTACTGGTACAACTGTCGGTGCACGAAACAATCTTGTGTGTAGCGCGCCTATGGATCACCATGCATGCCCCTAAAACCCTCGCAAGTCTTAGAAAAACCATTTTTCTTCTAACGTCCTCTTTTCTTTTCACTAGATTTGTTAATGGATGGCACGATAGTTAGGCGCTTCAAGGTATGATTGAGGTATTTTGGTACGGCAGTAGCTGCTGTGCTCAGTGTCTTTTTTAGTGCAGCTTCTATCTTCTTTTTCTTCCTTTCCCTGGAGGTAATCGCCTATTACCGCCTTTGTAATCGGTTTGTCTGTTTCATCTACTTCCTCTTAACAAAAAAACGTGCCTCATGACGCGGTCGTCGAGACAAAAAAAAAACAAGTTTATTTTTAGAGGTGAAACATCTCTTAATACTATTTCAAATAGGGATATTTTTTCCTAGTGATGGTGGTTGTCTTTAAACATGGAGTAGTCACGGACATGCCCACGGAGATTTGAAAGGCGTGGATGTACAAGGCAGGAAAGGACGTGACAGCGCGCGCGCGTCCAGACTCCAGACAGCTCGCCGTGTGTGGGACGCCCTGCCCAGCAGGCCTGCCGGGCCGTGGCTTGTCGTCCTGGCCATCATCTATCATCGAGAGACGGCAACAAAGGCAATGCCGCCGACCAAGCTATGGCTGGCCCCAGCAGCTAGCGGCCTGTCGGTCTCATCGCAGCCACTTGTGTGGCCACCGAGCTGCGAGCTGGAACTCGCTCGGCAGGAGACGACGTCGACGGCGGAGAGCATGAGCAATCCAGAGAGATCGCCCTGGGCAGCCTTTGTCGGGCGCCTTTGGGCACGTCAGTCGGCTCAATCTCTTCATGAGTTGGGTACGGTGGCGCCCGCCCAACACCAACAGAATGGCCTGGGCCACCTCTCGTGCCGCCGCTCAGCGTCCGTCCAGCCTTTCCTTGTCGTCATGTTCATATATGTGTCGTCCCTTCGTCCTTGTGGATGGATAGTGGCTAGCGTACAGGTGCAAATGCTACAAAATAGTAACTCCATTATTCTCGCCTATCACCTAGGCATGCCAAACAAATACTCCGTCCATTTTAAATTACAACACACTAAAGAATGTCATTCTAGCTTTGAATCCGGATAATGAAGAGAGTACACTATATCTGGACACTCATATATACACTCAGACATATAGATGCACGGACACATCTTAACTATATGAACATCTCAAAAAAAAAAGTAAGCCAGTAGGTTACTATAGGCGTCTTATTATCGGCGGGAAATCGAGTGTGAGGTTCCATCTCGCGGAGCCGAACCAACTAAGCTACGTTAATACCCAAATAAATGGCATTTGGTCTCTTTTAGTTATAAATTAACTAGCTGATGAAAATTAGGCGCTAAAATCACCTACTAGAACATAACTGTTTTACTATCAGGCGAAGAGGCAATCTATAATCACCAGATCAGACGTGGGGAAAGTGGAGAAAATGATTGAACACGGCCTTGTTTAGTTGGGCACCAAGTTGGCGCCGGCCAAATTTTCCGCGCACTGTAGCTATCAGGCGAAGAGGCAAACGTTCGTCTATAATCAACCAGATCATTAGTTTTTACGTGGGGAAAGTGGAGAAAATGATTGAACACTTCTTTCGTAGTGTCACAAATGTTGTGCCCCCCACGTGTTGTGCCCCATGGGCCAGGGCAACTGCTGGTTGTCGCCTCATGTAGCACTGTTTCAGGTAAGATCACATCAAAAGTTTGGACGCTGGTGCAGGTGTCCCCTGAGCTGTACGACCAATCCTACATGCTGATCGCCGTGTCTCTCCATGTTCTACGGAGGAGGACGACGTCCAGGAAGTGGACGCAGGTGTTCACTCTGTTGTTGGAGTGGCATAACAGTGGCACTGGGCCAGTACATCTGTGCATGCATCACCTCACCGAGTCAAACTATTTTGATCAAATTTATAAAAAAAATCAATATTTATGATACTAAATATGTATTTTTAAATTCCCTTTGAAATATATTCGAACTACACCTTGCGGTATTAATAATTTTTTCTACAATATTATTTGAATTTTATTTTAAAATATTTGATTAAGAATAGACTTAGAACTGCATCTTTTCAGGATGGAGGCAGTAGTAAATTGTAGTGCAGCTAGCATGATCCAGCCAGCTCGCATGTGGCACTGCCATGTTGTCCAGAAATACATGATTTCTGCGAGCATATGCTCTTGTGCTTCACATAATTTCTGCAAGCATATACCCTTACCATGCTGCGATATCAAACAGATACTGCAGAATATACCAGGAAGGCAGGAACATGAATGAAGCATATATACTAGTAGAACTCATGATGAAAGAAACTGGTGTGTGAAATGACAGTAAAGACTTTGCTTTTATTATTACTCCACATTACACCCAAAAACTGGGAACTTAATATTTCCTATAAAAGACTTCATGGAAAATGTTGTTTCTGGCAAGGACAGACATTATATTAGAAGCAAAAACAAAATTTTCCATCAAGTTTGACTATGGATGGCTTGCATAAACCACTGTGCTATCCAATGGTTTATCAGCTAACCAAAGTGGAGACAACTTCGTCCTCACTTGGAGCTACAAGGTTCTCTACATATATACCCATCAAAGGGTTTTTATTCCGGGTGATGAACAGTACACAACAGATTGCTAAATACACCTCGGAAAAGGGTTCATGTCTGCATACTCTACCGAACATAACTGAGGAACGCCGTTGCATCAGATTTTGTCATGAAGGTCAACAACCAAGTGGTGTGCATCATCTAGGAGCTTCCAAACATCTAGCTGCCCCGCCATGCTATTACACTCCCGCAGTATCTCATCCATGCTGCTGTACTTCTCGATTATGAGTTTCCTCCTCTGCAAGACACAGGCTGCGATAGCATAGAGCAGCAAGTCATCTGTTGGCGGGGCATGAAGCCTTATCCTTGCCCAAGTGGACCTTCCAATCCCAGCTCGAATTGCGGCCTGGTCAGCCCACATAACCTCCCACAGACACATAGTCTGCTCAAAAGTGAGCTCCCTCCTGAAGAGAACCACCACCATTCGGTACAGAAAGAAGCAGTCTTCGGCCTGAAGTTTCTGCAGATGCCTATAGAGGTGCGAGTCCTTGCGCTTGATGATCTGCGAGACGGTTTTCAGCTGTCTTCTTATTCCAACCTCATCAAGCCTGAAGTTGTGTCTGGCTTTCTTCATGAAACCCACAAAGCACCAAAATGCTTCATGATCTTCCTCCATGACTGCAATTATTGGTGACAAGAGATCGCTCATTCCTTGACAGTACCCTATCTCTGGATCATAGAGTGCATATGCCTCAAGCAGTGCAACTAATCGTGCAGCATGATAAATCATGTAAGGCTCCAAGTGGTCAAAATCTTTCAACCCAACAGATATTGCAGACTGCAGTGCTTTCTCTTTAGAGACTTCAGCCTGGTTACGGGCAAATAGAACCCATTCTGTATTTGCTCGAATAGCATCAACACGTATAATGCGCTGCCATGAGGCAAAATCCTCAGGAGTTCTGTCTGAAATAAAAATGTCTGACTTAGATGAAGCGGTCCGGACAAATTTTGGTTTGGGATCACAGTTCTCTTCCATATTGGTAGACACGGGTGTTCTATCAGGGTCCTCTTCACAGGAAGACTCAGATTCAGAAGATTCTGATTCTACCATACATGGATCAACATAAGTTAACTCACTTGTATCTTCATCTATGCATTCCACAGCATCCCAGTTAGAACTCTCTGATTCTTCTGCCTTACTGCCTAAAGATTTCAATTCTTTGGGCATCACACAAGCCCTCTTACTAACACCATTTGAATATGGTGACTCTGAACCTTCAGCCCCATCAGAAAAGTCCTCATTCATGAACTCATTTATAACATTCAGGCCATTTCCTCTATTACAATGCAGAACGCGGTGGCACTGTCGCCTCAGTTTTTCATATTCTTTCCTGCACCAGAAGTTGAGGCAATTCATTTTATCAATAAACAAAGTATCATTGTGAACAATACTAGTGTTATTGTGGCATTTTCTTCAGAAAACAGGAAAGCACAAGATGTCTGATAGCAAAGGTGCAAACAGCTGTTATATATCTACTTATTTACACTTCTTCTCTGGATTCTAGAATATAAAGATAAATCATCCTCAATACAAACTGGATATTCAACCAAATCAAGAAAGCAAAAGCTGATGGACAAAGAATGGAGTTATGAAAGTGATACCTTTTCTTTATCTTGATAGTATCCCTGTCCTCTTCAGAGCTGTTCAAATCATAGCTGTATATAATATGAAATTGGTCAGTATGTCGACTTGAAGCAATTACATATGATAGATATCTAATAGCAAAAGGCTAAACCTCAATCAACCAAATTAAACACATTTTTCTTGCTGTAAGTTGCATTTTTTTTAAAGCATAATGCCTTTTCTTGGCTTTCAGTCTACCTGAGATAGATGCACAGATGATTCTGATTTCGATCGATTGGCGCAAAAATGTGGCTTAGGAAAAATCAGCAACTTCACAAAATGACACTAGGGAGGCCCATAAATAATAGAAGAAAAAATTAGCATAGTACCCAGTGCACAGAGCTCCCGCTCTGTGCGGGGTCTGGGGAAGGGGTGTCAGTGGCAAGCCTTACCCTCGCTTGTGCGATGCGAGGAGACCGCGACTCGAACCCGGGACTTTCCGGTCACAGGCGGTAAGACTCTACCGCTTGCACCAGGCCCGCCCTTCAAAAAATTAGCATAGTATCATCAAATATTAGGATGCCATGTGAAGCCTAGGGATGCCTATCACTGATAGTATGACACATTGATCAGTCATATTTCAGATGACACTTAGCAAATCTAATGCTGATATTTTTGGACAATGTTGACCTATGAGAGGAAATGAATTTAGCTTTTGGCATGTTTTGGATTTCTGCTGATCCAGGTTGAGCAGTGTTTTTAAATAATGAGGTTTCACAAACTCTTTGGGCATGCTTTTTCAACAAGTTCTCCCTCCATTTCTGTTCATAAGGCATATTTGTCTAGGCATGGAGATGAAATATGTTACTAGACAGAGGAATGATAAAGGGAAATGTAGAATTAACTCATAAATGTCATAGATAGAGCAAGTTTAAACAAGGGGGCATCAGATGCCTTGTATGTCGAAACAGGATAGAAAAAATCATAAGGCCAACATTTTGCAAAAGAGAGGGTATGATGGAAAGATTATTTTGTGTAAAGAATGTCATGAAAAAGCAGTGCAAAAATCTAGGCCACCAACCAGTAGAAGTATTTTTCCTCCATTGCATAAAATCAATATTGAAAACAGCAGGCTATAGCACCGCTATAGCAGCTAGAGTTCTGTGCTATGGCCGCTATTGGTGCTATATCAAGCAATAGCAACACTAAACAGCATAGCGGGCTATTTATTTAGCAGCGCCAAACAGACTTTACATGTTCTATTAAGTTAAGAACTTAAGAAACTACCATTTAATTGTCTGGTTGGTGTTTGCTTATGTCTAGGGCTGCTGGACAAATACTTATGTTATACATCTTATCTTCGACCTACTTATCTCTTATGTTATGTGAGCAATCATTTGAATTTCTGCTGGAATAATGGTTGTTCAGGCCTATAAATTGCATGTGCTTTCCCTAAAAACTAAATGGCTTAGCGGCCAACGGCTGCTATAGCGCCACTATAGCTGTCATAGCAGTCTGAGCAAGCCACCACAAAATTCCATAGCCCACTATTTTTAACTTTGCATAATTTTTTTCTTGAACGACGTAGGAGAGCTGCGTGTCATTTCATTAAGATAGAAATAGTAGAAAACGAGTTGGATTTAGAAAGAAACCCAACTTGCCGAAAACAAGCAATACACACTCCCACCCACACCGAAAAAAAGGGAGGGTTGGGAAGATACATGACCAAGACCTGAACAAACTACTCCAAACACTGGGTAATCTGGACCAGCGACCTTGCGAGCAATTCACTAAGCTTTGGTGCTCCAGAGCCATGCACCACAAACTGCATACATCACCTATGGTCTGAAGAAGGGTCTGGATGTTAGGCACAGCTCCTTCAAACACACAAGAATTCTGGTGCTTCCACACTTTGCATAAAATTATAGGAGTAATATATTTCTACTCATAGGGGAAATTATCACATGAGACCACACTTGTAGGTTTTAAATAACTACTAGCACATATGCACCATATCATTTCACAAGAACATTTTGGTCGAATGTTCAAGTTTGACTAGCTTCTTGAGCTATACATTCATTTACCACTTCAAACTATGTTAACACTTAACAAGATGATTGCTACGTGATATTTAATACATAAAAAAATAGGAAAATCATCTTACACTCCAAGCAGAAATGGCCAAACTTCAGCCCTTATGCCCGGTTCAATCCCCTGGAAACATTAATATAAGTGATTCAGTTTACCATTAAAGTGGAAAAGGCTGCACAACATGCAATTGGATGCAAAATGTGCATAGCTAACAATCCCAACATATATCGGTCAGTGGTTGTGTATAGAAAGAAAGCCTGCATAACAATAATGCTTACCCCACTGCGAACCTTCTTTAGAAACTCTCTTCCCCCATCACGAAGCTTCCCATTTGCTGAAAATAGACGATTCCAGTGTTGACAAGTAAGTGCTCGTTTCCTTTTTCTTCGAGACCATGGAGATTTAATTCCACCCCTAGAATGAAATGTGGTAGGAAGAAATAATAAGTTGAAGTTGGTTGATGATTCCATGTTCTATGTTATTGCAGCATACCAAAGATACAACTTGACCACAGCATTTACGGATTTCCATTCTCAAATCAAACAATGAATTTAATGCTAGCCTTAATAGCTAAAATGTAGTACTTTATTGGTTACCACAAATGTATAAATACCACCCAAAATGTAGCATTTCAGCGAGCTACTAGCACAAAAGCTGGAGGTATCAAATTCAAGATTTTAGCAATCAATGGCAAGTTAACTAACCAACATCATAACCCGCGGAGCAAACCCCCGAACCCCTGCCCCACCCTTACACAGCGGCACCATAGCCCTTGTGAGAACGACCATCGACCTGGGCTGGGCCTTAGACCTGTGCTTTGGCATGGGACAGACAAGGGGATTTTTTTTTACCCCAGCATGAAATTTGCTCCCACGGGGAGTCGAACCCATGACCTGAAGATTGCTACTAGAGCCACCTAACCAACTCAGCTAGAGGCCTGTTTGCACTAACCAACATTATGGAAACGGTTTCAGATGACATGGTTTAGAACTCTATCAGGCTACCGCTGCCATGAAGCAAGATCCTAAAATGGACCCTCCCCCTCACCCCCCCCGCCTAAAAAATCTAAAACTGGATCATCCTTAGGCTAAAATGCTCCTTTCCTTCTTACAATGAATTGAACAAACATCCAATCTACATTTCACGCAAATAGCACTGCAAGTGAACCAGAACTTTGTGCCTAGTACTGCAAGCTGCTGCGCAAGACTTAACTAGATCAAAGCCTACAAGAAGTACCTAGTAACTGGTTCAGAGCACTTGAACAGCAAACAAGTTAGCATTTTTAAAAAATCTAAAAGCCTAAAGCAATTCTTATAAGAATAATAGTACCGAACAAACTACCGCTTCCACTGTGCTACCAGAATAGCATAATTTTGAGAATTAGTGCGCGAATCATCGCTAGCAAATGTCAACAGTTACGGTAGCCAACAAAAATTCCCCATTTTGAAGCGACCCATTTTGCGGCACCAGGAGGAATCCACACAGGATAGCTCACCGGTCCATGTTCGGAGACGAAGGAGCCAGCGAGGGCGACGAGGAAGCTGCCACCACTGACGCTGGCGCTGAATCCGAACCCTCCGCGGCCGAATTCGCCGAAGCAGACAAAGAGGACGTCGCCGGCGAGGCCGACGAGGTAACGGGGAGCGACCTGCGGTGGATCCACGAGTACGACCGCGGGGAAGACGGCACCCTCGGCGACGGCGCCGAGGAGGTGCTGGATCGCCGCAGGGCCTTCATTGCCCCGCCCCGCATCGCCTCCACCTACCGCTCCTAAACTAGCAACAAGTTACCGAGCACCTAGTCCACCCCGACCGCTTCCCGCTTCAGGGCGGCGAGCTTCCCCATCCACGCCGCCGGCGGCCGGCACGGGCGGGCGGTGGCCGATGAGGACGCGGAGCTCTGCGCGTGCGCGACGACGGGGGATTCTGGTCTCCTTCCCCTGGAGAGGAAAGGAGTTAAAAGAGTTGGTGCGGTAGGCATCGGTTACTCAGCCCGTCGCCTACGCACGCTGCCATGTGGGGGAGGAAGAGCTGGAGCCCACGCGTCAGTCTGAGTACATGCGGTGTACAGGGTAAAACTGCCCAACCACTCAGCAGTACGCACAACATGACAGCAGTCACCATCATTTCTGGACAGAAGAAATTTTCTACGGCAGTCGTTTTTCTTCTCTAGCGTACTGTCTCTGTAAATGAAATAAAAATCTTGTTTCTCGAGAGGTGAAACCACTTCACATTTAACAAATGTATAAAAAGATATTAATATTTTTATACATAATAAATATTAATAATAGATTGGAGCTAGAACCGAAGCCGGTTGGAGCTTGAGCTGGAGCTCGACGAAACAAACGAGGCCTAAGTGTGACCTATTATTAACTACTCCGTATAACAGATGTTTTTTCTTGTTTATTAAACTTTACCATTTTGTGTTTTACGTGAGATTTGTATATATTGATACTGATAAAAGCAAGATTGCGTTTGGCATGTGTCGATATCTTGAGTTGGTCTTGGTTTCTTCGTCGGATGACATAGCGAGTGATAGTATCTTTCGTCACAGACACGTTCGTGTGCTCTTAAATCTGGTTTGATCTGTTTCTTTTTTATCCGAAATAGTATTTTTTTCTCAAATTTCTCCAGCATTCTTTCAAACTATCCAAATTTCTACAGAATTCCTCCAAGCAAACAGGCCCACCCTATGCGAGATATTTGTTTTCCTGCTAAATTACTTGAGCATGCGGCATGTGCAAGCAAATAAACGTGGCAGAACCGTCCGAAATAATATATCTTCGGAGGCGCTCAGTTTTTCACCAAATACTAAGCACCCCGAAAGCAAACTACATCGGACGGATTCCGTCGAGCACACCCTAAAGGAGAACTCGAATAATCCACGTTTTCCTCCATGATCCAATAATGAAAACGAGTTTACAATACTTAATCCATTTCATACGACTAGAGTTCTTAGAAATACATTATTACAATACCAAATTCAGAGTGCGGAATTTAAACAGCGGAATTACAATAAACATCTAACGGTCGAATACAAGGATCCGTCCGTGCCCACCAGAAGAATCATCCACACAACAGCTACTCTTCAAGCTACACCTGCAACAGAGGTAAATAAACTCTGAGTACACAATGTACTCGCAAGACTTACCCGACTAGTGGAAATAATTTCTCGACTCCAAAAGATATGATAAGCTTTATGGGTTGCTGGTTTTCTTTTTGCGGAAAGCAATACTAGTAGTGAATCCTTATGTATGTTTCTTATTAGCAGTCATGATTAGTTTATTATCTAACCATTTTAGGTAAGCACATGTTCTACTTTCAAGCAAGAGTTGAGCAAACAGATCTATTTCATCATCTTTCATCTTCCAGTTCTTACTACGGTGTTAGATTGTAGACAAGTCATACCAGATTATCCGGCGATTCGCAAATCAATGTGCCCAGCTGGGTACCCCGAAACACACGCCCCGCTCTTACCCCAGGCACAAACAGGTCCAACCCATCATTCTCCTGTCAAGGGGTCCAGGTTCCCATCCAAACTTGAACTCCAAGCCCCCACACATGAGTCCCGGACTCAGTGTGTAGCTTAGACCTCCACCATCCCCGCCTCCAATCAGTCAGTCCGGAAAGAGCTGGAACCCACGATAAAAGAGCAACAAGCATTCCCTGCTCCCATAAATAAGTATGTGCTCAGGATAATAAGTCTGTGACCTGACTAGAATCTAATGCAACGGCCGGTCCTTAACCGACACGGACAGAGATAACAGTATAACCAAGCTATGCCCCGTTGGCCACGGGACACAACCTCTTACACCCACCAATACCCGTACCATATCCCTGCTCGGTCTTCATTTCTTTTCATCATTTTATCATGAGACTGATAATAATAATCACCTATTGTGAGTAACGACAGGTTACTCACGCTATCGAAAAACCTAAGCATAGCAGCTACTCGACCTAAGCTAGTAGGACCCATAGGTAGGTATATCTATGCATGTAGTTTTAATATAAATCATGTAACGTAAATGCACATCATATATATATTTCTAGTGATGATTTAAAATAAGGGTTATGCATCGGGGCTTGCCTTGGGCAGGCGTGGTGTCAGCTCAGTCAGTCAGTGACGGCTCTGGGACCTCCTGCACGAGCATCTCCTCCTCGTACTCTTCAATCACCTCATCGAACTCGTGATCTCCGATGGTCACGATCTCCGCCAACTCGTTCTCTACATGCATGCGATGATGATGCAACATTTAGCATTTCGGCAATAGCAACTCTTAAAATAAGAATAAACATGGTAAACTACTAAGCTAACTCTAGTGACTAGGATACTAAGCTAACTATCATGTTCATCAAGTAAAGCGTTGGGTTCAACTAACAAACACCTAGCTTTACAAATAAAGAATATATCTTTATTTCTCCTAATGATTTAATGTATACTTGAAACAAAGAGTATTTAATTACCTTTATGTTAAGTCTATTCTAAAGCTACAAAAATTATAGAGAATACATAATAATACAATCAACCTATTGTAAAAATTTTAGGGTTTTTGCTATCACCAATCTACCACATAAATTCCTACAATTATTTAACCTAATCATATTAAGCACTCTAAAATGATTCAATAGCCACTGGTATCAACAAATATATATATGAACTAAATACACTAACAGATAGAACACAATTTTAGGAACCAACAAAATTAGTTTCATAATTTTTTGACATCTATAGAATTTGCTATAATTTTCTAAGGATCGGCTCAAAACTAAATTAGAAAAACATTTACTAATTCGCTGGAAAAAGGAAAACAAATTCTCGCGCGGCCCATTCACGCGGCCCACACGAAGCAGGCCCACGCACGAGGCGGCCCACGGTGGAAAAGTCCCGCACGCGTCAGCGTTTTTTTTTGCAAAAGAGACCTTGCATTTTCCCCAATTCGCAACCAAGGACCAACACTATTTTACTTACTCACAGATCCTCTCACTTAACCCCCCGGCCTTTCTCTAATTTACCCACGTGCACGTGGCGGTTCATAGCGCGGCGGCGCGGTGGCCTAGCACGGCTACACCGGTCACCTAGGACCGCCATTGGACCGACGGTCGGACTGGCCTCTATCCCCGGTTCAACCAGCTACACCTAGCGGTAGTGCGGGACGCGCTAGCGCCGAGAACGGCAATACGCGGTCGTCCGCGATGGTGGCGCGACCGCCCGGCGAACTCAAGCATCAACGAACCCATCTAGCTAGCGAGTGAGCATTAACAGGCTACCGTGAGCCTAGCTGCGGTGACCGTTGGCGAAGAGAGTGGCGGAAAGGAGCTTGCCACGTGTAGCCAAGCCGTGCGGTGGCGCACCATGGCGGCATGGTCGCGTCAGCGGAGGGGTGGAGCCGGCAGCGACTAAGCCAAGGTACGCATGATGAAGAGGAAGGCAAGTCACACCTACTGGCATGGGCAATTGGGTTCGAGTGGAGGGATAAGAGGTCTGCCCTCGGTCATGGCCGTGGCACGGCCTTAATGGCGCACCGACGGGAAGACGCCAAATTGGTACCTGGCCGAGCCATCATCAAGGCGGTGCGGGGTCGAGCGATGAGGAGACGTGAGGACGGAGGTGCGGACGAGCCAAATTGAATAGAGGTGACCTATTTCTGGCGCACTCGTGGGCGCAAGGCGGTGGCGGTAGAGAGATGGGAGACAGAGCGTGGATGGTGGAATGCGGCTAGGGCTCTGCTGTGACACGCCTTGGCGGGACGCGGTTGACGTAACCGCAGCAACCCAGTCTAGCAACTAACGAACGAGCACGCGCATGTTCACGACGGCCTAGCCCGCGCGCAGCAGCGCCATCAATGGCGTAAAGACGGCGGGTGCAACCACGTGCACAGAATCAAACCGAGCTAGGGCGTAGAGCCTTGTGGCGTAGACACGAGCGCGGGGGTGCGACAACAGCGGAAGTAGGCGTGTCATGATGCATGGCGGACTTGGCAGCACGGCAGCGCCCATGACTATTCCCACGGCACGCGGCCAGTCCAGCGCGGCAACACGCGGACGCACGTGTGGTGCACCGACGCGGCGACGTCGACCACTGACATGCGGTGACCGCATCCATGGGGGGAAGCAAACCAAAAATGTGCTGGGCATGGATTTTAAAGCTTCTACCGCGACCAAACCGTTACTCCTAAACATAAACAGTCTTCACTACACTCAAGATGGTATATGAGGCTAGTTAATCAAGCTATAACACTACATCGCTCTTTAACCCAATTCCTCAAAATAGTTTGCTAAACATAGAAATGTCTAATTGTCAATAGACTTGGAAATTTTTCTAAGTTGAGTTGAACTCTATTTCAAATTGCATTTTTAAGCTATTAGAAATATTAGCTAGCAATGTTATTTTTCAACATCAAGTATTTCATCATCCTCTACAAAGTTCACACTCCAAACTTTATTTAAGCCCCATATATAAGTTCTATAGTAATTTGACTCAATAAAAATTGCTTTACAACCATACTTGATAATTGTACGAATCATGGAGTAACTTTTCATTTTGCATTCTTATTGATTGTTTTAGTTGAAATACTTCACCTATTTGTTTCATCACATGCATTACCCCATAAGTATGATGCTTATGACATGTTTTAGTAAATAATTTAGGGTGTAACACCGAAGGTGTTACAGCTCTTACCCCCTTAAATAAAATCTCGTCTCGAGATTTCATGTGCCTAGTGTGGGAAAAGAGATAAAAAATAAATTCTGATT